CTCGCAATCGAATCCACGTCCCATCAAAAATCCTCGCCCTTTCAGCGGTGGGGGTGTTATAATGTGACGGTGAATCCCACTATTCATTGGTAAAAGAGTAGCCCAAGAGTTCGCGATGGGTGGTGGTGATGACTATCTGTCTTCCCTCTAGTCTTACACTGCTAAATTAGGGACGGCTAGCGCAGATAGCCCTCGTGTAGCTTTGTGCGAAATTCAAAACAAACAAACAAACAAATCTCTAAAATGTAGAATCAGTTTAATATAATGTGCTAAGTATCTGTTTTTTTGCACAATGATCTTTCTTAAGGATATCATGTTCAAAGCACACCACTTCTTACTGGTATTTTTCATACTCCATTTTGTACACGAGGATGATTGGTATCTCAGCGTTTCTTTCAAAAGTTCGATCAAACAGTCATTCATAGATGCTGAGTTCGTTTGTTGTTTAGTTTAACACAAAGCTACCCAAGGGCTATCTGCACTAGCCGCCCCTAATTTAGAATCGAATACTGGGATTGATTGTCACATTATAACACTACCATGAATGAAAAGGCGAGTATGTTCGACGATGCCTCGAACTCTCAATCGACAGTTCGCGAATCAAGCGCCCTAACCACTAAATTATACCACGCCCTTTACTTTCGGTGACTTGACATAGTATGGAATAGCATGATTACCAATTCAATGTGATGTGATGGCTGAACAGATATGACTGAATGCAACTTTTCTACAAGTGACTTGTCCCTTGCGTACTGTTGCCATGGTCACGTGGACAGGTTTTGGCACTGACTGTTCATATTCGTAGGTTCTCATCTGCTACAAGAATGACACTTTGCTTACTTCCGCTAGGCTACGAGGGTCTCAGTGCTGAGGGTTTATAGACTTGGTTTCAATACCCGTGGTAGGAAGAACACAGATAGCCCATTGTGTAGTTTTATACTTAATAACAAACAAACAAAAACGCTCGTAGAAATCAAGTTTTGGATAGTCAAGCATATTTATTGAAATCATTGTAGTAAGACTACATGTTTCAGTGAGAAGTTTATGCAAGGTTATAATGAAAGTACATGGAACTGGTAGTTGTCATAAAACAAATGAGAAAAGTGGAAAACTGAAACTCTCCAAAGGTGATATTAAGAGACAGATGATGGTCGAGTATAAGTATTGGCAACTACTTTGCTGTTAATACAGGTGTGAATGTTACCTTGTAAGATATACATTTGAGCAAGAGATCTTAATGGACGGAGAGCTGCTGAAAGACTATATTGGGCATCAGAACACAAACAGTGGGGTAAAAAAATCTAAAAAACTCTAATCTCTGTAGAGAAATTTAAATTCGAATTGACGGTAGAGAGTAGAATGGAACCAATAGTCAATGTAAAACATTCATAGTGAAGCATGTTGAGGATCAGTTAAATTTGAGTGAGCAATAGTCAATGTAAAACATTCATAGTGAAGCGTGGTGAGGATCAGTTAAATTTGAGTGAGCAATAGTCAATGTAAAACATTCATAGTGAAGCGTGGTGAGGATCAGTTAAGTTTGGGCTAGCAGTAGTCAATGTAAAACATTCATAGTGAAGCGTGGTGAGGATCAGTTAAATTTGAGTGAGCAATAGTCAATGTAAAACATTCATAGTGAAGCGTGGTGAGGATCAGTTAAATTTGGGCTAGCAGTAGTCAATGTAAAACATTCATAGTGAAGCATGGTGAGGATCAGTTACGTTTAATCTACCAATAGTCTGTATAAAACATTCATAATGAAGCATGGTGAGGATCAGTTAAGTATTGGTTAGCAATAATCAATGTAAAACATTCATAGTGAAGCGTGGTGAGGATCAGTTAAGTATTGGTTAGCAATAGTCAATGTAAAACATTCATAGTGAAGCGTGGTGAGGATCAGTTAAGTATTGGTTAGCAATAGTCAATGTAAAATATTCATAGTGAAGCATGGTGAGGATCAGTTAAATTTTGGCTACATATTAATCAACAGTGTTGATGAGTTACACAAAATTGGTGAAACCGGAACACATTTTGATTTCTAATGACATTCACCCAGGAACACAGTTCATCGGGGGAGGGATCAACTTCCAGCAACACAATGGTCACAAGAATATTACAGTTGTAGTGAAACGAAAGGCTGATGAAACACTCGCAATAAAAACTGGGCCTGCAAATGTTTCTAATGAGATCGTTCTTGAGGTGACCAAATAACTTGGCTGAATTGTGGTGAGTAACGAAAGATATTTGCAGCAACATTCCATAATTGTGCATTGATAAACCTACACGGCAGCATGAAAACAAGGCGTATTTCTCTGTATAAAGTAAAGGGACCACATACAAATTACAAGTAGAATGTACAACTCTTAAACGTACAACCCGTTTGTACAATGTGTGATAATGTTTGTACGATTGATAAACCGCACGGCAGCATGAAAACAAGGTATATTTCTCTGTAAAGTAAAGGGACCACATACAAATTACAAGTGGAATGTAAAACTCGTTTGTACAATCAGTGATAATGTTTGTACGATTAATAAACCCACCATCTAGTTACTATTACTCGTTGTTTGTGACTTCTGTATGTGTATTGCTCGTGTGTTTCCATTACTTATATTTTTAATTAATGGAAATTCGATTTCAAATATTTTTCGAAAACTACTCTTGACTGTAATTCCCGCAAGAGGGATTAAGACTTATCTCCACCTAGAACTATTGAAGATATAGTTCCGAAATTCGTTACGATTATGTGCTAAAATGAATTTCAGTTATACAAGTTGTCATGAAAGACTTAAGTACTATAATAATGCCATCCCTTGTTTGGCGCTACACTGTGTGTGCTTTAGATTATTATGGAAAACAAGTAAATTCGCAAACAAAAATGTATATATTTAAAAATAGCAACAAATACTCATTTTTTTTTTACTTCTTTTAATGTTGTATATTTGACTTAATTCTTCAGATCTCGTATAATTCCAGCTGTCATGACCATTATGTATTTAATCAAAGTTATAGCTGTGATGATCATCAGATAAAGAATTAAACTAATTAGATATGAAAACCTATTAACGGATTTTATTACTGACTTACAATTTTTGCCAGTGAATATTTGTGTATTTATTTTTTTAGGAACAATTGCTAGTTTTTGAAATATTTATTATTCTCTACATAGATAGAGTATCGAGTTACAGGATAACAAAGCTGCTTTTCACTCAACTGTGCCATTTGGGCTTCATAATTTTTATTTCTAATTTCTACAGTCTTTCTTAGATAATAGCCAATCCTTAATATGTTGCATATTCTTAACAATACTATTGTCATTTCAGTTACTTTAATATATTGCATATTCTTAA